TTCATTAGCACCTCTAGTAATATATTTACTGAGAAAAATGGTGACGTGTTCAATACTTAATTTTACCCGCTGTATGTGGAAAAATTAGGAATTTATTTACTTGTCAAACCGATACCACTAATAAGTATGATGCCACAAGATGCTCATCATTCTTCATTTTAACACAGTGATAAGTCTGCTTTTTTATTTAGGAGTCCTCCTAACATWGTGAATTTATTCTTGTATCATAACGACTATTCTCGTCATAAAAAAGTTATTTTAGTCTGCTAAGATAATTAGTCTGTATACTTTGTCATATTTTTTTTACAAAGTTGTTTATTGTTTTTAAGTATGCATCTAATAAATTTGGTAACCAGCCTAGGCATGATGAATGTTAGCCTTTCCAATGCTAACGCTAGCCTATTCATGCTAATGAACAGTAGACGGGGTAGACAATCCAGTGGGTGAGCATCCTAGCTAKGYTAGTCACTAGCTTCTCCAGTGCTAACGCATATGAGTAGTCTCCTTCTCGTTTTACAGCACTCTGTTACAGATGCAGACCTATCAGATCAGTAGTTGGCTATGGAATAGATGTAGCCTTCTGCYACTAGGATGTTACTGAGCCCRTGAGGGGACATGGGGGATGTTTTTCCTTTTTGCGCTCCCACRCAAAAGCATTGCGTTACCTCGCAATACCTTTTGCTTTCCCTCGCAAAAGTCGKTAAACACTGTTGTGCCTGCCGGTTTATTAATAAACTCAYWTGTTCACCTTTAGCATGTTAGCCTACTGCTTTAATTCAGCTTCAGAATGAATATATCACAAAGCTACGCATGGAAGTATGTCATATGCCGATATTTGAACGCAGTGCAGCCACGCAACATCAATGACAATTTCACGAACTTGTGGAGACACATCCTGTTTTGGTAACCGGATATTTCAAAATAAAAGTCTGATTTAATTCMGTTCATATACAAATCAAACTTTTGCGTGGGAACGCAAAACAATATTGCGAGGTAACRCAAAAGTATTGCGARGGAACGCAAAGGTATTGCGAGGTAAAGCAAAATTATTGTGAGGGAACGCAAAGGTATTGCGAGGTAACGCAAAAGTATTGCGAGGTAACGCAAAAGTATTGCGAGGTAACGCAAAAGTATTGCGARGKAAYGCAAAAGTATTGCRAGGTAACGYAAAAGTATTGCGAAGGAAYGYRAAAGTATTGCRAGGTAAYGYAAAAGTATTGCGARGKAACGYRAAAGTATTGCGAGGKAAYGCAAAAGTATTGCGAGGTAACGCAAAAGTATTGCGAGGKAACGCAAAAGTATTGCGAGGTAACGCAAAAGTATTGCGAGGTAACGCAAAAGTATTGCGAGGTAACGCAAAAGTATTGCGAAGGAATGCAAAAGTATTGCAAGGTAACGTAAAAGTATTGCGAAGGAACGTGAAAGTATTGCGAGGTAATGCAAAAGTATTGCGAGGTAACGCAAAAGTATTGCGAAGGAATGCAAAAGTATTGCGAGGTAACGCAAAAGTTTTGCGAGGTAATGCAAAAGTATTGCGAGGTAACGCAAAAGTATTGCGAAGGAATGCAAAAGTATTGCGAGGTAACGCAAAAGTTTTGCGAAGGAACGTAAAAGTATTGCGAAGGAACACAAAAGTATTGCGAGGTAACGCAAAAGTATTGCAAAGGAACGTAAAAGTATTGCGAGGAAATGCAAAAGTATTTCGAAGGAATGCAAAAGTATTGCAAGGTAATGTAAAAGTATTGCGAAGGAACGCAAAGGTATTGCGAGGTAACGCAAAATTATTGTGAGGGAACGCAAAGGTATTGCATGGGAACGCAAAATGAAAAAATATCCCCCATGTCCCCTCGTGGGCTCCGTAGGATGTAACCACTACTGGGTGTGCAATAGTCATAATTTTGGCTCTTATACCACGCCATAGTCTTTTTTTTTTCTTGGTTCTGCCAGGTATTTCAAGTTTGTTTTCATTAATCATTTGGTTTCTAGTTTATCAGAAAGCCATCGTTACAAACCGTAACTGTTCTTTGCAACACATGGAAGTTCTAAGATAAATGAACTGCAAGCAACATTAGTTGTGTTATAATTGTAGGGTTGTAGGACATGTTAATATTTCATTGTGAGTGTCTTCTAATTTCCGAGAACGTTCCTAAAACCACTTAGTGGTAGTTTTCTTGCGAGAAAAACAATGAGGAAAAAATGACAGGTTCCGTGTGGTTTTGTGTAATTTTTCCTGCTTTTCTCTGGGTAACGGAAACCTTCCCTTCTACCTCAAAGGCAAGTGGGATAACAAGAAGAAAAACAAGTCTTTCTGGCAGAACTTCCGCAAATCTCAGCACAAACCCGTCGTTCGACAGTCATCCAAAGGTTTGCGAGCTTCTTGTTTTTCCACGAGTTTTTCGTGGCTTCGTGTTTTATATGTTGTCGTTTATTTTATTTTTTTCTAACTTTCTGGTCTTCAGGAGAGGATATCGGCTACGTGGCCAGTGAGATCACCATGAGCGACGAGGAGCGGATCCAGCTGATGATGATGGTGAAAGAGAAAATGATCACTGTAGAAGAAGCTCTGGCTCGGGTAGGAGTCGCTTTGCTTCATCGTTTTCACCTCCCCTCTTCCTCAGTCGTCCCCCCCCTCAAACGATTAAACCAGTCTGTAACCTTAGTTAACCTTCACATCCCTTCCCCTCCCCGTGGATTTGATTTTAGCCTCCCCACACCTTGTTCTCCATAGTCTTACAAATCCTCCGTAGAACGGCTGACTCTTACTAACCCCTTCAAGGCCCCAGATTTTAACACTGCATTGTCYTTTATACAAACACACACAAACTCCAGAACATCTGGTGTGTCCAGAGGTTCAGGAGTCTTGGAACTTCAGGGTTTTCAGCTCTTGAAATCTGTGTGGGTGTGTTGTTCAGCTCGTAATTAGGAGGAAGATGGTGATGGTAGCATTAGAGCCCCACCTGTTGGGGGCTTGGGTGCTGTGGTGCTTTGTGGTATTTCTTTAGTTGGACATGGTGGATAGTCATTTGGCTTTTCTATACATTTTCTTTCACTTTCTTGTTTATCTGCCAATCAGTATATTTGATTGGTTTTCCTCTTTTTTTTCTTTTTTTTCCTCTTTTCCTCTCAATGAAAACCTGTACTGCCTTTCTGTTGGGTGGCATGACTTACCAGCAGCTTTTGAGAACTAATTTAATCTTGATTTTTTTTTCTCCGTTTGTTTGATAACCAATAGCTTGATTTCAGCTGTCTGATTGACACTTTGTCAAACCAATCAACCTGATCAGCCTTTGAGGATCCTATTTCTTTATGTTTTCATACTKGTGTTTGGTATTTTCTGTGACCAAAATGTTATTACAGTTGTATCTTAAATATGTMTTGGAATGTAACTGACCACAAATTTTAAAAATATTTATATTTATATAAATTTTTAGCTAACATTTATAAAAATAAAAAAATAGAGAAACTATGTATTTGTTTTAGAGAACAGATGAATCCCAACACATAAACACATAAATCACAAGTGTTAAACTCAAGGCCCGTGGGCCATATCTGGCCCTCTATACAATTTTGTCCGGCCCCAAAAGTAACACTGTAAATGTAAAATAATTTAACCACTGTATTTAATGCATTCTTCTCATGACAGATGGCCAACATCCAAGCCAAGGAAATTAAGTTYGACCTTTTTTTATTATTCTTTTGATTTTAGTGTGGAACGATAACCCACTTGAACTTTTTATTTTTTGTTTTTCTTATTTCAAAGTTAAATTA